AAAAAGCTTATGCATGAAGTAGTATCAGCTGCTACCTTATTTTGAAGTAAAATTCTCGTCCACGCAGGTTGTCTCTGTCAGAGAAAGGGTGAAATCCTGCGTCTTAAGGGTACTACCCACATTTACTGACATATAATTAAAAGTACCCCAAAGAACCAAAGCACAATTCTTTTCTTAATCACAAGAAGATACATGCATTTTTTAGGTTTTCAAGAATTCCAGTCAACACTTACACTAAAAAAGAATTAATTTCTTATGGTAATCCTATGAGATCACAGTTTTACAGAATCATTGTTTGGTGGAAAAGCCCTTTCAAAGCTTCTTGCACTTCTGTACAATTGCCCACCATGTCAAGTTGTGTTTTTGGAGCCATGCTGGGTACATAACAAAGATGCAGATAGGAATGAGCAGCTGTGGGCAGCAGAAACAAGGCAGGATTGCTCTTAGCATGAAATTAGGGCCTGAAAGCTTTTATAAGTGCATTTTGATGTTACCTTTCTAGAGTTTTGTTGTTGTTTTTTCTGCCTCTCTCTCACTGAAGAAATATCCAGTAAAGCCCCATTATTTTAATGATGTTTAAAATAACCTGCCTGTTCTCTTCTCTGCAAGACCCACTCTTCTCTGTTAATGTCAGAATTACCATTACCTTTTGCAAACCTTGCCCTGTTTTGCAGCAGGGATTAAAGACTTCTAGTAGCTACACTTCAAATTTGTGACATTCCAGAACAGAGTGTCTTCTCATTTCAATGGTACTACCAGACTCAAACTCTTTGTATCAGAGGAGGAGAACTCAGGTTTTGAATAGTTTGCCTGTTTAGAAGTAAACTAGCAGGAGAAATGAACCCAACTCTAGAGAGATTATAAGTCAGAGTTACAGTTTACTAAAAATAAATTACAATAGATGCAACGATACAGAGAAAAAGCTGGGTTTAACCCACAAAAACAGATGTCTAACCCAGCCTTCTGGGACAAGAACAGAACAGTGTTAGTTGGCCCCTGTGGTGAGCACCACGTGGTCCCCCGGGTGCAAAGTAAAAGGAAAGGAAAACCTGTTGGTTCCAATGATGGTGGCAGTTCTGTTGAGGTAATGATTGCAGTCTTGTCGAGAGTGGTACCCGCACTCTGGTTGGAGTTCTGGTCCTCCTCTCGATCCGATGAGTGGTACCAGAAGTCCCAAAACCCTAAGATTATATGTGCTCAGGTTCTGGTGGGAATGTCCAGTATCTCCCCCAGGGTAGGGAGTTTCACAATGGGTGATTTAACTCTGTGAGTCATGGGATATTTTTGGAGTCTTTGATGGTCTGGTGTTGCAGCTGCCTATTATGCCAGTCTAGTATGGTCCATTAGCAGCTCAGGCTGGTTGTGAAGGTGCTGATTCCTCCCTGGAGGGGAGTTATCATAGCTGAGTCATTAGGTGTGCCCTGGGCAGCTGCTGCAAATCATCCATTATTAACACTCCATCAGAAATGACATAGAGGATATATAATACGCAGTTTTGGTTATACCCACATAGAAAAAATTGGTCCTGGCCCCTGTAATTAGGACAAAGAGGTAGGACAGGTGAGTGAAGGTTGATATCTCTGTAAGAAACCCCCTGTCCTTCAAGTAGTGGAGTAGGTTGGTAATGGTGGTTTCCATTAGACAGGACTATCTACATCCATTTAGAAGAATATTCATCCTGGATCTCACTGACTGCATCTGGTCCCTCTTGGGAGATAAAATTTAACTTGTACTTTTTCAGGTGAAAATGTCTGCAGTCACATAAGGGTTTTGGCATTTTTATAGGATGTTAACAGGATTATGCACTGCATGCATGGACCATGACAAATGAGTATCTTGGTTTTGTGTGGCAGGGGGCTTGCAGGGGTAGCTTTTGTGAGCAGCTCCAAGAAGCTTCCCCCATGCCTGACAGAGCCAATGCCAGCTGGCTCCAAGATGGACCTGCTGCTGTCCAAGGCCAAGCCCATCAGCAAAAGTGGTAGTGCTTCTGTGATAACACTTTTTGTTAGAACAGGTGAAAAAAACGTGTAACTGCACCCAGAGAAGAGAGGAGTGAGAATATATGAGAGAAACAGCCCTGCAGATACCAGGTCTTCTGCCTCAGGCACTGGAGAAGAGATTCCCCTGCAGCCCGTGGGAAGGACTCATGTTGGAGATGTTCATGGAAAACTGTCTGCCATGCTAGGGACCCCATGCTGGAGAAGGGGAGGGGGTGTGAGGAGTCCTCCCCCTGAGGAGGAAGAAGCAGGAGAGAAGTGTGTGATAAACTGACCACAGCCCCCATTCCCCATCCCCTTACGCTACTGGGAGGTGAGGGTAGAGAATTCAGCAATGAAGTTGAGCCCAGGAAGAAGGGAGAGGCGGAGGGAAGATGTTTTAAGACTTGTTTTTATTTCTCATTGCCACATTGCTCTGATTTGATTGGTAATAAATTAAACTAATTTCACCAAGACAAGTCTGTTTTGCTGGTCACAGCAACTGCTGAGTGATCTCTCCCTGACCTGGTCTCAACCCTTTTGTTTTAGCAGAGGAGGGGAGTGACAGCGTGGCTTTGGTGGGCACCTGACATTCAGACAGGGTCAACCCACCACAGCGAGGGTATTAGAAACATATTTGAAAGTAGTGTTCTGCTGAGAATGAGTCTATTGAAGTAATACTGGGGGACTGTGCAAGGAGGAAAGAGGCACCCCCAATGCCATCTTGTCCCTAATACATTTAGGTTGAAGTCCTTCGAAAAAATTACCTCTGCACTGCAGCTAGGCTTTGTTTTGTTGAGGAATACATTTAGTGCAGGTAGCTCGGTGTGCAGGTGCAGTGTGAGCTGCAGGTCGAGCTCCAGGAGGCAGAGGTTTCTTTTGTTCAGGGCCCCTCCTCAGAGGCACTAGGTCGAGCTGTTGTTCTGTTGCTGCACTCTGATTAAATTACCTAAAGGATCTAGAGGTCTGGGACTCTGCTATGGGAAAGCTGAGGTCAAGCTGGTAGGAAACCTGGTCTGACTGTGTGTATGTGTGGAGTGTGTAGCTGCAAAGGGGCCTTGGTCCCAGCTCAGGTCGTGTGAGTGTGACTGCCAGAGTGGCTCCTGTATGGTCAGACAGGAAAGTTTCCTTAACAGTTTTAGAGAAATAATTTGTTCAAAATGAAAGCCTAAGCAGAACTCAGATGGATTCATCTGAGAAAACAATGATATGTTCGGGCTCTGGAATAACCTATGGTAATGTGTTTTATTCGACAAAGACATCCTAGTGAAAAATCTGCTAGTTTTTTTCCCACTGTATCTTTGTTCTTTGAAATCTTTTAAAGAATCATAAAGAACTTGTCACTTAACAATTTGGAAGTGCATCAAATACATCCATTTTTCGTATAAACTCTTGCCAGGAAAATTTAATGAAGTAATTTGCTGAAGCAGAAGTATGTGATAATGTTGGATGCACTCAGCATATCTGGCCAGCATACAATACTGGCAGCTAGGTTTTTTTCTAGGTAAACAGAGAATTTTAAATGTAGATGTCTAAGTGATTCTTATGTGCCTATATTAAAAAAAAAAAATCCCAGCATCTAGGATATCATCACCTGGCAATTAGAAAGAAACTGATTCCTATGGTATCTTGCAAGGCATCTTAGATTGTTTGCATTCTCAGTATTCCAGATTTTCCTCCGCAATGGCAAAACTGTGTTATAGAATTTTCCTGTCAAATAAATTCTATAGCAAATGCCTTATCATCAGATAATATTATTCCATAAGAACCAAAGACTTTTTCCTGAAAGAGGCTGTTTTTTGCTGAGTTGTTTTCTCAACGTAATTTTCAGTTTCTTTACGATAGTGCTTTTGAAAAGTGTCTTTGTTTTAACTAGAGTGAAAAATGCTGGAGACTCAGAAGATCTGATGAAATGTTCAGTTTAAAAGTTTGACTGAACTAATTTAGTTACCTATTTAGGAGACCAGGAAAAAGAGGAAAGAGGGAGGGCTTTTTAAAATTTTTTCGCTTTACTTTCAGATTTTTTTATCTCATTGTAGTTTGAAGTTTCATTTTTGCATCAAAAATACCTTCAGGACTGGCTTGAGGTTTCCAAATGATCTGACAGATCTAGCTGTGGAGCTTGCTAGCCACCAAAACTGCCAAGGAAACCATTGCTGGTTTTCTGTTGTAGTCATTATCCTTGCATCTGTATAGTGGTGAGCTGATTGAGGAATGACATATGTGAATGTTTTGCATGAAACCTTGTTGTACTGGTCCAGTAGAATCATAGCAGGTGGGACATGGAAAGGCCATGAACAATGAAGAGGCGTAAGTTTAAATATTCTGGATTTTCACAAGTAACATAAGGTCCAGATCTTCGGATGATACTACTGAACAGCTATGATGACTTCCTCGGAGCTGCATTGGCACTATATGAAGGTCTCAAAGAATAATGGTATTTTAAAATCCCATCACTGTTGTGAGAAATAACTGGAAAACAGTTTTTTCTGCCTTAAAGTTAGTTTAGTAAGGAAGCTGCATCAAAACTGAGATCAGGATTTCAAATAATACTGGAGTATGTCAGTATACTTTATGGATGGAATTGGAAATCAAGATTAAGAAATTATATAACTATACATTCATTGTGTTTACAAAATACAAATATGGAAACATAGAAAATTTGAGGTTTTATGTATTTTTTTTTTACCATGTGTCTGTGGTAGAAAAGTATACCACAAAGAGCACAAGTGGTGATTTTATATTTTCCCTCTTGTTTAGGGATCTGTAAAGCACAGACTAGAAGTCAAGTTTTGTAAATTAGACTTAGCTGATGTAATAGCAAATGAATGTGCTGTATCCAGAATTTACCAACATGTAATAATATGTGTATTCATGATGCACAGATATTTTCACATAGGTATTTGTTTTAAAAACTGTGGCAATCCAACTGTTTTCTTACCAACTTGACTCATGTTCTTTCAGGTAATTTGATGCATTTTTGTAACCTTCTTTTTTTCCTTTTTTTTTTTTTTCAGGTGGTGCTCTATCAAATGAGTTTTGATATTATTACTGGAAGTTCTAATCCATTCAGGTACATTTAATTTTTATTGTGTAATTAATCTATATAATCATAAGATGCTTTAGATTGTAATCCTTTACATGCTAGAACAGCTGGCCACCAAGCAGAAATGTTTTTTGAGGCAGGAAGATGTAAAAGGTGCCCAATCAAGCAACAGGAAGAGAAATGGTCTTAGAGAAAGCTTCTTGAGAGAAGCTGCTAAGCCTCTGCTTTGTTAGACTTTGTTCTGTTCTGTTTTGTTGGACTGTAGGTACAGTGGATTTATATGTATGTACATAATTAATTGTGTCAGATTAATTCTCACAAAAGCCTTATTTTAGCATTTTACCATTGTAATCTTCACCCATTTTAGGTTGGATGATAACTTGGTGAAATGCTTAGTACTTTGGAAGGTTAGTGGCTTAAGTGGTAACTTGGTTATATCCAGACTATAAAAGTCTTTCTTTCCAGGATGAAATAACCTTGAGGGATTTAAATAACCTTTAAAGAGTTTGTCAAATTGCCAGCTTTATTTGTTCAACAAGTAGTTGGATTGCTATGGAAGCATACTGTGCTTTCAGAAAAGGCTGATTCAGAAAAGACATAATTTCTCATTCCTTCAATTGCTGGGCTATGGTGAGCACAGTGAGGTGAGCACTTGTTTGAGCAGCTGCTGCCAATAATATGCTTGTCTGAATGCTGTGCTAGCTGCTGGAAGTTCTGTAATCATATTACTGCAGTTGGAGGTGAGGAAGCTGTGAAGCTTTAAACCTTGAATCAGTATTCTGTTTGCTGTTACAAACAGACTTTGGCCAGGCTGAATTTGTTGTTTAAAAAGCAAAATGTGGCATGATATTTTCACCACATCCTTTCAGATCTGAAATAGATTCAGAAATGGGTCTCAGTTGTGTAGGCATTGTCTGCACAAGAGAAATTCAGAGTTGCCTGTTGCATCGCTCAAACTGTGAGTGACTAATCCATTGTAAGGTGTTTAAATCTGGTTATTGCCTGCTTCACTGTTCTGAAACTAAAACACATTTTCTGAGTGAGAACTTTTGCCTAACATTCTTCTTGGGAGACAAACTGTGCAAAGTTCTCTGGAGTAGGGTTTGAATCCTTTCCAGCCTCAGGAGACCTAGTCTTATTCATGCTCTTTCAAAGTTCTTGTTCAGTCCTCTGAAGGCCAGTGTTGAAGTAAATTAAAGTAACTTCTCAGCAGCAGCTGCTTTCCTCTCTAAGGACTGGAAAAATCTCAAAAGAAAAAAGAAGTTCCAGTCTGATAATAGTCCTTTTGGATCTCTCTGTGGATTTTTCACTGTCAAGTTCGTTTTCCTAGTGGCCATTGCATAAAGCTTAAGTTAGTTGTCCAGTGGAAAAAAGAAACCGTGGAGAAACCACACAGTGGATTCATATTCTCTCTCTTATTACAGAAGTAGTGATAGTTTATGTGACAGCAAACAGTCCAGGTACAATGTTATGCTAAAGTACTTTGTGCTGCATTTAAGGTGCGTGTCTGCTCTGCTGTGCTATGCGTACAATATCCTGTCACAAATTCCAGAAATCAAAGGCCTCTGAGGTTAATTGCAAACTGTGATACATTTAGAGTAAGAAAAAGAATTGCTGTTACAGGTTTTTTACTCTCATGGTAGTGTAGTTTCATAGGTTTGTGAGAGGAGAGGATGTGGCTGAACTGCTTGCATTCAGTACGAATTACATGGTAGTTGTGTCAGTAGAAACAAGAGCTGTACTAAGGGCTATAGTAGCTCACCTTCAGTGCTCCGTCTTCAAATGGGTCTAAGCACTCAGATAAGAAAATCTTATCTGAGGAAGTCTTACCTGAAGGAAGCAGGTTTAGGGAGCTGAAATTACTATGAATTTTCTTAATTTGTGGATCCAGATTGTCTCACTGAATTAAACTCTCCTTTTAAGACAATAGCTATGTTTGTTCTCTTCGCATCTCCCTCTCCCCCCTCCACCACATATTCCTTAGGTAATTAAGACCAAGAGAAGACAGGGGATGAAGTTTTTATGTATCTTTGGGAAAAGTATTGTTACAGATGCCTAATTATGCAAAACAGAAAAGAAGATTTTTCTACTTTGCAAATGCCAGTTAGCTTTTTCAGTGGCTCTATGTAGGCGTTCAGTATGATTTCCATATTTTGAAAATAAGAATTGCTGAGAGATTCAAACAACATGGATTGCAAAAAAATCAGGTTCTAAAAATTATTGTTTTCACAGTTTTGAGTTAACAGAAGATATCAGAAATGGTGTTATAAGAGTGTTTCATTGAAGAAAATAGAATTGCAAATACAACCTTTTTTTTCCTCACTTGGAAAACTTGCTCATTTTTCGGTTTTGTTGTGATTTAAATATTTTTCTTCAGGAGCTGTCAGATGGAATTAAACTAATCACCAGTGCTATACATTTCACTTAATTTTATGTCCACTGCATCTCAAATTAAATTCACCTAGCATTTATTACCATTCATTTGCAAAAACTGCTACATTCATAATTTATGTTTCCCAAAGTGTAGCCAGTGAAAGAAAGTGTGAAATGCTTCAGTGCTGATGTGAAAACATGAAATGAACTCAGAATTTCTGGCATAGATTGAATTTAAATATAACTCAGCATGATTGAAAATCTTCTCAGTGTCCTAGATTTGCACTTCAGGTTTCAGTTTATACTAAGCATGAGTAAGTGTTGTTAGCTGCATGAATAATGCATTTTCTGTAGCTCAGCCCATTCCCTGCACATGTTTATTCATTTATGCTGTTTAAATGAACTGAGATGGTCAGTATTGACTCCTGTTTTGACAAGCTACAGGAGAGATGAGTTTCCTCATGCTTAGAGCAACCACAGAATTACTTACTCAGAGACCATATTTTTAAATGATCATTTATATTCAGTTGTCATCTGCATTCAGTGACAGAAGCACCCTTTCATACTTCTATGTCATTATTTTGAATAAAATTCTTGTAAATTTATATGTATTTTTGTAATATATTTCTGGTGCCAGGAATGCTAATTGTAGAAGTGGGAAGTAGCTTTACAACAGAACCCAAATGCACCCAGTGTTTGGGACCTGAGAATGTATTTTGCCCTTAGACACATGACATCACAATCAATCTACACCTTTTCAGAGCTCAGGGAGTCTGTGAACAAGGGATTAGGTAAACAGAAGAAGGAAATAGGGCTAACTTTGTCAGGTTTCACATTAGAAGAGCTGCACAGTTCTGTCCATGTCAGTTCACAAAAGTGAATTTGGGCAGAAAAGCAGCTCTGTAGAGACTAATATTATCTCATTTTAGATGAATAGAGACTAATTTTGTCACTTTGGCAATTTATATTTCGTCATTCTCTAATTTAAATGTCATAAAGTTAGTTTTTATATTATGTCAGTTGTTCAAACTTGTGTGGATCCATAATATCCAGATAGTTAGTATATTTCTTGTATATAATGAGATTTAGTAACATTTGTTAAGATAACACATTATTATTGTGCTTGAAGCATGAATTTATTCTGTAAAAGGAGCTTTTCAAAGACATTAGTGATAGGTATGTGCCACACAGCCATCAGCTTCCGTATGGCTTTTTCCTCAATTTCTTACCCTCATTTTCCTTGTCACAGTGCTCATGGTGTTTGTTATACATTAGATACTGAACAACACAAATAACATGCACATAGTCACCACAATAAATGTGATACAAATGGAACTTAATTTGTACTTCTTGAATCCAGGATATTGCCTGGATTCCCACTCATCTTTTTATGTAGTTCTGTCTTTGAAAACTATCTCTAAATGAAGACTTACTGGCTACTGGAGTTATTCAAATGAAAAAGATGAGAAGAATCTGCTTCTTATTAAGTCCTATCCTCTATTCCCACTTTCTGTAACCAGTAGCCCACGAAGATTATTGCTTTAAAAAAAAAAAAAAAAATCAAGAATTCAACAAAGTTGTCTTATGTTTATTTTATATGGTCCTGGGTAGAATTTTAATTTTCTGTGTTATGGCAAATATAGCAACTTTGCAAAATTTTACCATTTTGAAGTGAGATAAACTTATATTTTAAAATTTAACCCAGAATGAAAATGTAAATAATTCTATTTGTTTATGAAGCAGAATTTCTTTGAAATTACTCAGCTTTTGATAATATGGGACAATTTTTCTAAAGAGAAATTCCTGGTTGTCTTATCTCTCCATCTTTCTGACACTCATGTAACATTCTTTAATCAGGTCTAGAAACAACAGCTATTCCATATTTATGAAATCGTAAGGCTCTATGAAACAGTAAGACAATGAGAGGTGTGAGAAATTGAGAACTGTTACTGTCTATCAGTTTAGTAAGACTTTCTCAGAAATGAATAGATTTTTTACCAGTGCAGAATATAGATTTTCTTTCAACCCAGTACAAGTAGAAGTACCATGAATTGCCAGAAAAAAATTGGATTTAAGATGCAAAACAAAGTAACACAATGGCCATTAAGGCTCAAGTACAATCCAGTGAAATGGCTTTAAGGAATGACAGATCCACTATCTAGAATCCCACAAAATTTTTCCCATTTTTCATGTGGTAGTCAGCTTAGACTTTAGAATGCTTTCTTTCTGCTTGCCCTAGATCTTTTCAGAGATTGTCCAAAAGGGCTTTGTGGGTTTGTGTGGCCAAGTTTTGGTAGCGGGTCAGGGCTACACAGGTGTCTTCTATGAGAAGCTGCCGGAAGCTTCCCCGTGTCCGACAGAGCCAGTGCCATTTGGCTCCAAGATGGACCCGCTGCTGGCCAAGGCTGAGCCCATCAGAAATGCCTCTGTGATAACATATTTGAGAAGGAAAAAAAGTTATTGCAGAGAAGTAATTATAGCCAGAGAAGAGAGGAGTGAGAACATATGAGAGCAACAGCTCTGCAGCACCAAGGTCAGTGCAGAAGGAGGGCAGGAGATGCTCCAGGTACTGGAGCTGAGTTTCCTCTGCAGCCTGTGGTGAAGACCGTGCAGGCTGTCCCCCTGCAGCCCATGGAGGTCCGTGGGTGTGCAGA